TTGTGTATTTGAATACGTGTGTGTGTGTGTGTGTGTGTGTGTGTGTGTGTGTGTGTGAGATTCCCTGTGGCTCTGGGTAATGACATGTCTGTGAGCCTGTCTGCACGTGTGTGTGCACTTAATCATGGCCCAGGAAGTTGTACATACGTTTGTTTGTTTCTGGGTGTGTCTCTGTGTTTACCCCAGAAACAGACAGGAACTTCGCCAAGACAGCGCGATTTGTATTCAAACCTTCCCTCTGGGAAGCTTTGGGCAGGAGCTCTGGCGGGTGCTAGCTCCCACCAGGGTCTGAGGAGTGTGATACCTTGTAAGTGAGCATGGGGCAGCGGGACCCTTTTACGCCCAAAGGTTTCCTTCTCGAGTATTCCCGAATTCAGAGCTGTGAGGCGCCCTCCTCCACCCTCTCCCATGAGTGGTCACACGACCTCAAGGCGTTCCCTGCTTGAAGGGAGGGAGACCTTTGAGTTATGGAAGGCGTCAGGCGCCCTGGCTGCTTTTCAAGGTCCTCCACTGGAGGGAGCTCAGAGCCCAGAAGGGATTGGCTCTCCCCGGTGGCCCCGTGGAGCCCCGTTCCTCGTTCGCCTACAATTTCAGCCCCCACGAAAGTCTTAAGTGCAGGAGTGAGGCAGTTTGGGGTTGTACGTTTATGCTTGATATGAAGTGACTTCCTTGAAACAAAAATGATTTCCCAATGGGGGGGCTGGTGCGGGGTGGGTAGACACAAAGTTAATTTGGGGCGCCTTTTTCTCCAGATCCCAGGCCCCCTGAGTCACAACCTTGGTGCCCCCACCCTCCGCTCCCCCATTCAGCACTGGGGATACACATGCTCACCCCACTTTCTTCCTCTTCCTCCTCCAGCCCACTTTCTCTTCTCTGTGTCGTCAGAGCTCCAGGGAGGGACCTGGGTAGACGGAGAAGCCGGAAACAGCGGGCTGGGGCAGCTCCGCTTACACTGACGAGCAAGGACTAGAGGGGATTTTGTGTGTGTGTTGTGTTGTGTGTGTATGTGTGTTTCTTTTTGGTGATAGTGGTAGGGGGTTGCTGTCAGCGCCGACTCTCAACTTGCTGGACAGAGCTACAGACCCATGGGGCCTGGCAGTGCCCGCTGAGGGTGAAGACAGCAGAGGGGTTGCCAAGGTGAGGGGCTACCTCCCAGGAGGGGAGGGTTGGGGGAGATCTCTGATTTTGAATGTGAAGAGATTGGGGGGTCGTCTTTGGGTGGGGTGGATGGTCCCCAAGAAATTGGTAGCTGGTGGGACTGGTTTGGGGCAAGTTTTGAACTCCCAAAAGGAATTGGGGTGGGTACAGGCCCGAGCACCCCCACTCCTACCCAAGAGCCACTTTCTCCACATCCCACTCTTGGTACCTCCAGAGGGATGTAAATAAACATCACCAGGGAAGGTGTCTCTGATGGGGGCTTCTTCTGTCTTTCCCTAGAAGGTTGATGCTAGAGGCAGGGGAGATAGGGGAGATAGCCATTAGGCAAGGTATGCACAGTTTAGCTGTGGACTAATCGGTAGCGAACGATTTTACCAGTTTTTTCACCAATCATAAGCAGGCACAAGTAAGCTTATGCTTTGTTTACGGCGTCTTTATTACAGATTGTAAATTTATAAAGACATAATTGATTCAGAAGGAAGGTGCTGTGGGGCTGGGCGAGAGAATCTTTGATGGGGTGAAAAAAGATGAAATTGCTCATTACAGTTTATTAGGTAAACACAAGTAAATCCGTGCTCACCTCGCTAACTGGGTAATTCGACATTGGCCAGAGTGTAGTGGGGTCCAAGTCCTGACCCTTATAATGGTTCCTGTTCAAGGGTGTGGCCTGTCTAGGGGTGAGCGAATCTCAAATGTAAACCTCATGGTGCCCCAGAGGGGGAATTTCCCCCTCAAAACTGATCCACGCTTGGCTGCTGTAGACGCTGAGATTTCCCGGAGCCGAGCCCGGTTAACCCTCCTCGTGCTGAAGTGGCTCCGCCTTTCCTCCCCCATCGCTCGCCGCCACACACACACATATTGAGCAACTCTAGAAGCGCTTTTGACCCTTGATCCTGTGGTCACAAGGCCACAGAACTTGAGAATGTAGGGGTTGAGTGATCTGCTTTAAGTCTTGAAACAAACCCATGAGGATCCTGGACGTGGGGCTTCCCTTCCCGGTTTGGGAGGGAACTCTGGCCACGCCCCCTCGCGCCGTAGCTCCTCCCCCTGCCTCTCTTCAAAGGTGTTCCAAGCAGAAAGTGCCCTGTCCAGTCTAAACCAAAGGACCCTGCCCGTTATGCAGTGGGGGGTGTGTTCCCAATGATAGTGCGAGAAAGTGGTTCCCAGATGGCATGGGAATGGAGTAGAGGAGATAGGAAGTCAGGGTCATGCCAGGAGGCTGTTCCCTCAACTAGAAGAAGGAAAAGGGGGCTGCCTTTAGCTTAGAGCTCACCCTGATGCCCAGTAGGATAGGGATGGGAGGTCAGAGGTCTGGAATCTCAGCAGTGGGAGAGAAGGGGGAAGCAGAAGAGAGGAATGGATTCGCCACCGCCCACCTGAATCTGAAACAGACCATCTAGTTCCACAGGACCCCCAACTCAGACCCTACTCTCAGTGAGGAGTGGAGAGGGTAGGGACTGGAGGAAGGGCCAGGACAGACTTGGAGCAGAGTCTCCATCCCTTTGGGAGTCCTGGGGGAGAGAGAAGGGTGATTTCAGTGGAATAGAAGCATGTGGGATTACTGAGTTGGGGGATACTCCAGGAGTTTCCATCCTCATATTCACCTTATCTCTGGGGCAGAGACACAGCGTGACAAACATGAACTAAAATACTCCTGCAACCCTCATATCACCTTTGCTTGCTCCCTTTTCCTTCTTTCTCCTTGAGCTTCTAACTCCGTTTCACTTCCTTTCACCCTCTTTAGGGCTTTAAACTTCAGGCTAATTTATTTCACTTTTCCCTCCAATCTCTCTCACTCTTCTTCCTTCCTGTTGTTGTATGGTACCATAGCTGATTCTCCAGTGGATTTTCAGAGGCAGTGACCTGCACAGGAGGGAGCTATGGTGGCCTAGTAATAGTATGAAGCTGTGCTGCAATCCCAAAGTACACAGTTTGAATCCACCAGCTGCTCCAATGGAGAAGCATAGATAATTGCCTCCCATACAATTTACTGTCTCTGAAAACCCACTGGCAGGTCAGCTATGGGTTGGTTATGACTTGACAGTACACAACAATAACAAATTGCATGGGAGGAGATTGCCCATCCTTTCTCCATGGAGCAGTTAGTGGATTAGAACTCCATGCCTTTGGGACTGCAGTGTAGCTTCTTACAACTAGGCCACCAGAGCTCCCTCTTCCTTACTTTCCCTCCTCACATCTCTTTATTTTGGTGGCTAAAGCCTAGGAATTAGCTAGACTTGGATTAAAATTCTGCTATTGGACCTCACTAACTGAGGAGTGATAGTCAAATTAGAGAACTTCCTCGGGACTCAGCTTTTTTTGTCTACACAAAGGGATAATTAGATTTTTTAAAAATTGTCATGACTCTCTAAAGAATTAATATAAAGGATAAAGCTGCTAACCAGAAGATTGGTGGTTCAGTATACCTAGAGAGAAAGAGAAGACAGTCTGCTTCTGTGAAGATTTACAGCCTTGGAAACTCTATAGGTAGTTCCACTCTGTCCTCCAGTGTTGCTGTGAATCAAAACCAACTCAGTGGCAATGGGTTTGGTTTTGGTTTTTAGTATCATCCTGGAAGTGCTGATGGGATGTTCGATGCTCATTGTCTATGCCAAATATCCAAATGTGCCCTGGTGGTGTGATGGCTAAACAGAAGGTTGGCGGTTTATACTCACCCAGCAGCTCTGCAAGAGGAAAGAACTGGAAAACTGGTTCCATAAAGATTTACAACCTGACAACCACTATGGGACCCATCCATAGGGAGTTGCTCCTCTAACTCAAAGACCATGCATCTCTGGCAGCTTAAACCCACCAGGAACCGTCTCCTGTGTGATTTACATCCTGAGGGTCATCTGTGTGTTGGTTCTGACCCTTCTGCAACAACTTAGTGGGCTATACATTGGAATTGATTTGCAGTCATACTCTAACAACTAACCTAAGACTTGGGTTCGATTCCCACTATGCATATTGCTATGGTGCTGTACGGTTTTAGTGGAGCTTCCAGAATAAGGCAGATTAGGGGGGAAAGCCTAGGGGATCTGCTTCTGAAAATTAACTAGTCAAATCCTGTGGATCACATAATTCTACAGATGGAGCTTGGCTAGGGCAGCGTGTAGGTCAGTTGTGCATGGGGTCCTCATGAGTGGAGGGACAATTTAACAACTAGTCAACTATAGTATTTTCACTCTAATAAAATTCATAATAAACATCTAGTTTGATGATTTCCAAATTTTTTAGAGCCCAGAAATTTTTAGGGGTTTTTTTTGGTTTTTTTTCCCCCCCTAAGGACGTTTTTGGGATCAGAAGATGGGAAGAGAGATACTGATGCAGTAGAGTTTCAGGCCTTCACACATATTCTCACCAGGACAACTCCAGTTTTATAATTTTTGTGTAATTGAGATGCCACAGATTAAAAGTTTCTTTCAAAAAAATTGGAGAGCTCTACATTTATCTAACTCTCGTATTTTTTTTATTTATGAGGAGACTGAGACCCACAGATAGGAGGTTCCTTGGTCACAGAGCCAGTCCTAGAGCTGGAGCCCAAGTCCTGTGCTTTCTCTGCAACAATTCCTTCTCCACTGCTTATTCCCCTTTTCTCCCCACTCCTCTGAGAAGAGTTCAGCACTGCCCACCACCACTGTCCTTGTGACCACCATTGAAGGTGCTATCCTGTCTCAGGTCAAAGAGTATCTGGTTTGACAGGATCCAGTGATGGGGTAGATGGACTGGGTAAGGCTGTCTGCAGTAGGCCAATAGCTGCCTCAGAAAACAGGCCACGTTTCTTAGACACTTCTCAGAGTGATTTAATTTCTCTCCTCAAGGCACCCTCCAAACCCCAGATCATGTCTTTGTGGGGTCTGGTCTCCAAGATGCCCCCAGAAAAACTGCAGCGAATCTACATGGACTTTCCCCAACACCTGCGGCACCTCCTGGGTGACTGGCTGGAAAACCAACCCTGGTGAGTCCCCCAGGTCCTCCCCACCTTCCTCTCACTGGACTCTGTCTGACCAATCATATGACTCAGGATTTGGGACTTCAACTGTGGTGTGAAGATTTAGAAGGCAGACTACACAAGTTGACACATGGAGTCCCTGGCCCCTTCAGGAGGCCAAGACAAAGAGGAGAGAGATCAGGGTAGGAGGTAGGGCACTTCCCAGAAGAGCTGAAGAATGGGACAACAAGAGGCAAGGATGGGGGCTGCAGAGATCTGATGGAGAATGAGGAAGTAATAGGAGCTGTTTGCTGTGGGGTCCAGAGAACCCAGGCCCAAGGCTGCCTCACCCTCATCTTCTTGCAGGGAGTTCCTGATCGGCTCAGATGCTTTCTGCTGCAACATGGCCAGCGCCCTACTCTCAGCCACGGTCCAGCGGCTTCAGACCACAGCGGGAGAGCAGGGGGAGGGGACCAACGTCTTGCAACATATCAACACCCTAGAGGTGGGGACTAGAGGGGAGGGGATAGGGCTGGGTTAGGGTGGGGCCTGGATTGGAGCTAGGGTGAGAATTGACCACTGGAAGAAAATGTGTGTTCCTATTAGCTGGCATGCAAATTAGATTTTGAAAGCATGCAAATGCATGAAAACTTCTGGAGCCTACAGTTACGGCTGTTTTCATTGTGTGTGTATGTATGGGAGGTAAGGGATATGAAGGAGGACAACAGTAAATGCTAAGTCCTACCCACTGCCCTCACCTCTACAGAATATATACCAGAGGGATCCACTGAAGTTGGTGGCCACTTTCAGACAAATACTTCATGGGGAGAAAAAAGCTGTTATGGAACAGGTATTGCGATACCTACTCTTCACCTCAATTCAACCCCTAGAGGCTTCAGCTTGAACCCTGACAAACCCAGAAAAGAATCTGAATCTCAGGAAAGTCTCAGTGTTCTAGGCCCAAGATGACCAAAGAAGGTTTTTGGGGTCCGAGTGAGTTCCAGGCCAAATCTATGGAAGTTTCAAATGGGGGATTGAAGGTAGTAGGATCTGGGGAGAGTGGAGAAAGGGATAAGGAGCAGATTCTGCCAAGAGAGAGAGCTGATCCACAGAGGATTCCAGGGTCAGGAAGAGGTGCCTAAGGGGGCAGAGGAGCCAGACAAGGGGAATGGTCTGTCTCTTTTTTCTGCAGCGCTTGGTGGAGATATCTCTTCGGGGAGTAGAAGCGAGGTGTGGAGGGATGGGCAGAGTGTCTTACCTCTTGGTATCTGTCTCTCTTGTGCAGTTCCACCACCTGCCAATGTCTTTCCACTGGAAACAGGAAGAACTCAAGTTTAACACAGTTCTGCAGAAGCTGCAGCATCGAGTGGGGGAGACCCAAATTCTCCGAGAAGACCTGAAGCAGGGGGCTGAGGCTGGCCAAGGTGGGAGCTGGGTCTGGAGCCCCAGGAGAATTTTGGGGAGCACTTGGGGAGTAATCCCACCTTGGACCTCAGCATTGGTGGATCCTCATCCATTCTATTTTCACCCCTAATTTCTGTTCCTACCCTCAGTGTCTCTGCAGAACTTGATAGAAACTCCTGCCAATGGGACTGTACAAAGAGAGGTAAGTAATGGACTGAGATGTGCAGCCTGAGCTCAGAGTGCAGCGAGAGGGAGGAAAATTAGACCTGAGAGGCGCAGGTTGAGAAAGCCTTCACCTCCCAAGAGCTGGGTGAGGAGGCTCTTGGTGACTTGGTTCAGGTCCCTCCCTGTCCGCAGGCCCTGGCAAGACTGCTGCAGGAGTCTGTGGCAGAACTGGAGGCAGCCCAGGCCCTGGTGTTGAAGAGGATCCAGATTTGGAAACGGCAGCAGCAGTTGGCGGGGAATGGTGCACCCTTTGAGGAGAGTCTGGCTCCGCTCCAAGAGAGGTTAGTGCAGGACTGAGGCAAAGGGGGGGGCTGACTGGTGGTAGGCACCAGCTGTCCCTGATTGGAGGTGGGAGGGGGGGCTGGACTCACAAGCCTGAGAAAAAGCTATGCAGAATGGCCATGGGGGGCTGAGAGGGGGGAAGACACAGAAGTCAGTGACAGCAGGAAGGGACACATCATTTCACAAGTCTCGTCCTATACCAGGGCCTCTGGTGGCTTACTGGTAAGGAGTCTTGCTACTAATTCAAAGCCAACTCGATTCCACCAGCTGCTCTGAGGGAGAAAGGCGGTCCATCTCTTCTTGTGCAATTTATAGCCTCTGAAAACCCACTGGAGGTTTAGCTAGCTGTTAGTTCTGACTTGATGGCAATGAATAGAATTGAATTGTCCGGGTTCTGGTGGCCTAGTTGGCAGGGAGTTGTGCTCTCTAACCAAAGGCAGGTGGTTCCAGTCCCTCAGCTGCTCTGTGGGAGAAAGATGTACAGTCTCCTCCCATTCAATTTACAGCCTTCTCTGAGAACGAGCTGGAGGGTCAGCTATGAGTTGGTTCTGACTTGACAGCAATGAGTTCTGTCCTACACAAATGTGTCCAATCAGGGGGCCCAAATAGGGACTAATCTGAATCATTCTTTGCTCTACAAGCCTGGTGCTCAGAGGAGTAGGAGCCATTTCCTGTTTGGTCTATTGGATGGGATGTTGTTTGTGTTAGCACAGATTCTGACTCAGAGTGTCTCCATGTAACTGTCCAAAAGGGTATTCATGGCTATAGTCTTTACAGAAGCAGATTGCTAGGACTTTGTACCACATTGTGGTTAGATGGGTTCACACCTCTGACTTTTCAGTTATCAGTTGAGTGCTTACTCACCGTAACACCAGGGTTCCTGTATTGGGTGAGAACACTTTCCCAATTGTACACCTGCACCATGTGGGCTGGCAGATGCCTTAGTAAAGAGAGGCAGCCAGGTTTCCACAAAGGATCTGGGCACTGAGCATGAGCCCAGAGCCAAAGCAAGGCCCAGAGTCTCTTCAGCCAGGACCCTCACAGCCACTCATTGTCCACCACACCCTTCCACAAATACTATCTGGGTTTTTTTCCTGGGTTTTGAAGAAGAGGGTCTGGGTTGGAGCAGACAGCCTCAATGGCATGCCCCCTAACCCCTGTCCTGGCCCCAGGTGTGAGAACCTGGTGGACATTTATTCCCAGCTGCAGCAGGAGGTGGCAGCCGCTGGTGTGGAGCTTGAACCCAAGACCCAGGCATCACTGATGAGCCGGCTGGATAAAGTCCTTCGAACCCTCGTCACCAAGTATGCCCCTCCATGTCCCCTCCAAGCTCCTAAACTGGACTAGAGCAAACACCACTGAAGGAAAGACCTAGAGCTGGGGGCGGGGGGATTCCAGGAGGGTGGCCAGGTCTTAACTCTCCTGTGTTCTCCTCACTCCTCTCAGCTCTTTTCTGGTGGAGAAGCAACCCCCTCAGGTTCTAAAGACTCAGACCAAGTTCCAGGCTGGGGTCTGGTTTCTTCTGGGCCTGCGGTTCTTGGGAGCCCCAGCCAAGCCCCCGCTGGTCAGGGCTGACATGGTGACTGAGAAGCAGGCAAGGGAGCTGAGTGTGCCCCAAGGGCCCAACACTGGAGTGTAAGTCAGGGTGTGAGGCTGGAGAAGGCCTGTGGGGTAAGGGAGGCCAGAGGATCTTGATGGGTGGGCGCCATGAAGAAGGGGTGATAAAGAGAGACAACCACGGGAAGTGGGGATACTGCTGGTCAAGGCAGCAGAGGAAAGAGAGGGAACCACCCAGGGCTTGGTTAATCAGATGGGGACATCATGGTCTGGGCAAGATGGGGGCTTCTTTCTTAAGAATCCCAGGTAAAGGGGTGGTTGGGAGCCAGTGGTCCATTCCATTCACTCTGGGACTGCCATTGTGTGGTCATACCTGGCCCACCTGGGACGCACTCCCTCAACCTCCGGTCTCCTGGAGCAGAGAAAGCAGCGGGGAGATCATCAACAATGTGGTGCCGCTGGAGAACAGCATTCCTGGGAACTGCTGCTCTGCTGTGTTCAAGAACCTGGTGAGGGCCTTCACGGTGTGGTGGGGGTGGGCAGAGTGTGCCAGAGTCTTCAGAGACCCTCCTCTCTGTGTCCTCATCTCTGCCTCCTCCCACTCCACCTGATAGCTTCTGAAGAAAATTAAGCGATGTGAGCGGAAGGGCACAGAGTCAGTCACGGAGGAGAAGTGTGCTGTGCTTTTTTCCACCAGCTTCACACTGGGACCCAACAAACTTCCCATCCAGCTCCAGGTGAACCAAGATCCCTGCCTTGCCCCACCCTGGGACCTCAGGTCCCCCTCCATGACATACACGATGGCCCTTAATCCTCCTGGCTTCCTATGGCCTCATATGCCTGGGATTCTCCAACCCTGGGACGAGAAGCAAAGCCCTGGAGGTCAGCTTCCTTTAAGATTACAACAGCCAAGATTATCCTATGGGACAATTTCGTTCAGTCACACAGGGGGCCATGAGGAGTCAGAATCTACACAGTACAATAAACTGGGGGGGTGGGAGGGAGACTTTGCTACTGTTGTTATTTGTTTCTTTTGAGCCAGAGTAAGCAAGGAGTGACAGACCTGGGAATAATAGTGTATAACAACTTACACTCAGTAAGCACTTTTTTATAGACTTCTTGTATCCCGTTGAGTTGGAACTGACTCATAACTGACTCTTTAGCAGGTTTTCAGAGGCAGCTAATTACACAGGAGGAGACTGTCTATCTTTATCCCATGGAGCAGCTGGTGGACTCAAACTGCATGCCTTTGGGATTGCAATGCGGCTTCTTACCCCTAGGCCACCAGAGCTCCCATTTTCTAGATTAAAGTACTGTTCTAAGTAATAGTAACACCTTGATGGTGCAATAGGTAAGTGCTCAGCTAAAAGGTTGTCAGTCTAAAGCCACTCCGCTGCTCTGTGGGAGAAACACCTGACAATCTGCTCTCATGAAGATTACAGTCTAGTAACCCTGAGGCTCTGTTGAAACTGATAGGACAGCACCCACCAACACCACCCTCTTTAGATTTTGTCATAACAATATGAGTTAGGTACTATTACAAGCCTTTTTTTCTAGATAAGGGCTTTGAGACACAGAAAGATTAAGTCATTTGCCCAAGGTGACACAGCTTCTAAGTGTTTGAGCTAGTATTTGAAACCTGGAAGTCTGGCTCCATAGTATTGACTCAGATCTGTTTCTCCACAGTACGGCACTCGTTGACTGACAGCATGTAACAGCATACAATAAGCTTTTAATGATGTTGCATGTCCAGTCACTGCTCTACACACTCAGAGCCAGCTGCCTAAGGAAGCCTCTTACACTTGTGAAAACTCCCTCTTCATCCCCTTCAGGCCCTGTCTCTGCCCCTGGTGGTCATCGTCCATGGCAACCAAGACAACAATGCCAAAGCCACCATCCTGTGGGACAATGCTTTCTCTGAGATGGTAAGGAAAGACCCAAAGTGGGGGAATCAGAGTGCATTTTAAAATGGGGGCACAGCCTGGAAAACTATCTGTGCTGCTGGAGGAGTGGTCAGCGTGTGATAACAGATGTCACCCTGACTCCTTCTCATGTTCCTGCTTTCGTATCCCTGACATTTCCCATCCCAGTTTTTAAAATGACCATGTCATTTATTTGTAGCATCACAAAACTCATCCTGAGAAATCAGTCTTTGTGAATGGGTAGGGGGGTGATGCTGGGAGGGGCAGGGCCCGAGGGAGGTCGAAGGGCTGAGGACCCGTGTGAAAATGAGGGCTGATAGCAAGCACGTCCTCTCTTCTCCTTTACCACAGGAGCGAGTGCCATTTGTGGTGGCTGAGCGGGTGCCCTGGGAAAAGATGTGTGAGACTCTGAACCTCAAGTTTATGGCCGAGGTGGGGACCAATAGAGGACTGCTCCCAGAGCACTTCCTCTTCTTGGCCCAGAAGATCTTCAATGACCACAGCCTCAGCATAGAGGCCTTCCAGCACCGTTCTGTGTCCTGGTCACAGTTCAATAAGGTCATTCTTTAGCCCTTTGAACTTCCTGTCCCCCAGATCTTTATCCTAGAGCACTCAGGCCTCTTCCCTCTCTGCCCAGGGATGACCCCTGGATCTTCAGATTCTATCATGCCCAGCAGGAAGACCTTGGTTGGGCCCAGGCTGGAAGACCCCTCCAGTCTAGGGCCCAGCCCAGAGTGTGTGCTCTCTGGCATTCTTGGGATTTGAAGAGGCCCTCTGTCCTCCCTCTGCATCACTGACTTGCATGCCTCTCCCAGATTGTTTGTATGCAGAGCTCTGATTCAAAGTGACTTTGATCCATTGGGAAAATAGTTCAATCCAGGGTGAAATTCCGTAGGGACCTATGCAGTAATTATAGCTACCATGTGTAAACAGCATGCTATATGCCAGCCATTGTTCTGAACACTCTGGGTATATTATCTCATTGGGGTATGCCAGGAATTATTCTTTAATATGTTCATCAATATACCAGGCATTGCTCTTAACATTTTGTGTGTATTACCTCACTGAATATTTCCAATGCTCCTTTGAGACAGGTATTCTTATTATCCCCATTTTACAAATGAGGCACCTGATACTCCAAGGGGTTAAATATTTGTCTGTGGTATCACAGCAGCATGATTAGGATGAAACCTCATATTTCTCTCTCTTGCTCTTAAATACAGTATTTGACTGACTCCAAAATAGGGTGGCACAGGACTGGCTGGAGTATAAGGATGAGGGAAATGGAGTGCCATGTGTCTTGGTGGCATGTACTGCTCTGGGGGGAGGGGAATAAAGAAAAGCCACATGACTAGGAGATGTGTCACTAAAGGAAATACAGCACTCACATCCAGCAAGCCATCTTCCTCTGGACTCCTCAGCCAGGCTTAGGGAAGTAGCAGAGTGGTCATGGGAGGTGGGTGGGGCTTCGCTATGATCAAATCCCAGCCCTGCCTCTCACAAGCTCTGCAGACCTGGGCAAGTTATTTGTCCTCTCAATAGTAAGATACTCTTGTATAAGATTGGGTAGCTGTAGTACCTATCTCTATGTTGCTGTTGTGTACCATCGAGCTGGAACCGACTCATAGCCAACACTCCAGTGGGTTTTCAGAGACGGTAAATCACACAGGAAGAGATTGCTCATCCTCCCACAGGCCAGCTGGTGTATTCGAACTGTGTGCCTTTGGAATTGCAGAACAGCTTCTTACCAGTAGGCCACTTCTAAAGGCTGGTAAAAAAATCACATCATTGATGTTGTTATGTGTCATTGGGTCACTTGTGAATCAGTGACTCTATGTACAACAGCCCTGAACTGTGCTCTATCCTGTGCCAACCTTATTGTCTCTGGAACCCCTACCCCAGTCACGGAATCAATCCATCTCATTGAGATGGATTTCCTTTATTGCACTGTCCCTCCACCATCCCAAGCATAATGTGCCTCTCCAAGGAGTGGTCCCTCCTTGCAACATCCCAAGTATGTCAGATGAAGCTTCAGGAAAGGCTTAGACGAGTTCCTCACATATAATAAGCTTGAGTGTTTGCCAGTATCATTAATGGGGGTCAGCTCCCTGTCCCCAGGTGACTCTATCTCATGTGTACTCACAGCCCAAGACTACCCTTTCCCCCAACCCCTGGTGCTCAGCATTCCCATGCATACACATTCCCTCCTTACCCTCAACAGGAGATCCTGCTGGGTCGGGGATTCACCTTTTGGCAGTGGTTCGATGGTGTCCTAGACCTCACCAAACGCTGTCTCCGGAGCTACTGGTCAGACAGGTGAGTGAGTCCCACTCCCGGGTGGTTCAGAGAGCTGTACTTCTAGTTCCCTCTCTACTCTCGTGTCCTTACCCCCACACTTTTCTTCATCTTACCAGGCTGATCATTGGCTTCATCAGCAAACAGTACGTTACTAACCTTCTTGCCAGTGAGCCTGATGGGACCTTCCTCCTTCGCTTCAGTGACTCAGAGATTGGGGGCATTACCATTGCCCATGTCATCCGGGGCCAGGATGGTAAGGTTGTCCCCACCAAGTCCTCTGCCTCTGTGCTTGTGTCTGCTGGGGTTTCTTCTGGGGGGACAACCCTGACTTCAGGAAATTCCCCCTCAGGCCTAACTTCTCTTCTTCACTCTGTGACCTTCTGTCTTCTCACCATGAGCTCTGTGGGAATGGAGACTACTGAGTCTTCCTCCCTCAGAACTCCCATCCCAGGGATCTCTCTTCTTGGCCATGGTTAACTGAGAACGAGTCCTGTGGAGGAGCCCAGGGCAAGGGGAGAACATCCAGACAGAAGGACCTAAAAAGTCTCCTTTCTGTTGTAGGCTCTTCACAGATAGAGAACATCCAGCCATTTTCAGCCAAGGACTTGTCTATCCGTTCACTAGGGGACCGAATCCGGGACCTTGCTCAGCTCAAAAATCTCTACCCCAAGAAGCCCAAAGATGAAGCCTTCCGGAGTCACTACAAGCGTGAGCCTGAGCTGACCATTCTGCCTTCCTCCTGTCCCCTGCCTCTTCCTTGCTCCCAGCTGCCCTTTCTCTCAAAGCCTGTCATGTCATCCCCAACTTCCCTCCATATTTTCTTAGTCTCACTTCTCCTGGCTGCCCCTCCACTATACCTACCTTCTCCATCTCATCTCCCTTCCTCCCTAACTCCAAGCACTCCATGGCTTTCCTTTCCTCCCCATCACAGCTGAACAAATGGGCAAGGACGGCAGGGGTTACGTCCCAGCGACCATCAAGATGACTGTGGAAAGGTGAGAGGTGATGATGTGAGTGATGAGTGGGGCTTGGGGGCTGATGCTTAGCTGCAGAAGGGGTGATGACATCAACTCTTGGTCAAGCATAAAATGCATCCCTCCCATTTTCCAGGGATCAACCGCTTCCTACCCTGGAGCCCCAAATGCTTGCTATGACGCCCACTTACGATCTTAGAATGGCTCCTGATTCTTCCATGAGCATGCAGCATGGATCAGAAATTGTGTAAGGAGCTTGAGAAGTGAGAGGGGGGACTGGTCTGTGCAGCAGGGTCGTCAGCAGGGGAAGCTGGGAGATGTGGTATTCGGGGTTGGAGCAGGGAATTTGTCTTGCTTTGTTCCCCTTCTAGGACAGGAGTGGGAGATCCCAGAAAGAGGACTGGGATCAGAGGATCTGTCTTTTTTCCCCAGGCCCCCAGTATACTCTTCGCACTCTCACCCCATCCCATATCAAGCCCTCTCCCCAGAACAGGTGGATGTGGTGTCAACCTTCCATGAGTAAGTCAGGGTTGGGAAACCCACCTGCAGAGGGTGGCATTTGCATTTGTTAGCAGAGGCCTAGGGAGAGAAAGAAGTAGCCACACTCTGTCACTTCTGCTCACTCTATTGAGGTTAAGTGGCTAAAATAGACTGGGTTTGAAGTCCAGCTCTATTTATGAACTTTGAGCAAATTACTTAAATTCTGAGATCTCATCTGTAAAATGAGGGATAGTTACCTATAGGGATATTGCAACAGTTAACTAATAAGATGCATAAAAGTGAACATAGTATTTGACTCCTAGCAAGAACTATGTAAGTAGTTGTAGAAAAGACAAATTGCATTGGGAAAGACTGCTGTCAGGGACCTCCCCAGAGTACTAAAGAGCAACATCAGTCTGGAGACTAAGGTGCACCTGACAAAGGCCAGTCTTCACAATTACTTACTATTTGTCGGAAAGCTGGACAATGACTAGGAAGGATAGACAGATAATTGATGCCTTTGAGCTGTGGTGCTGGAGAAGAGTATTGAATTGACTGCCAGGAGAACAAAAGGTTTATCCTGGAGAGGGTGAAACCAGGCTGCTCCTTGGAGGCAAGTATTCCAAGGCTTCAACTGACATATCTTGGGCATGTTGCAAGGGGGAACCAGTCGTTGGAGAGGGACATCATACTTGGAAGGGTGGAGGGACATTCCAAGAGAAGACCCTGGATGAGATGTGTTGATTCAGTGACTGGGTAATGAGGGCAGGTGTGTCAGAGACAATAAGATTGGCACAGACTAGAGGAGGTTTCAGGGCTATTTGTACATAGGGTCGCTATGAGTTGCATGACCCAACGGCACATAACAACAACAACCCTTGAAAGCCAATGTCACTTTTCTGTTGTCTTGGTTTTTAATTATTCATCTCTTTTGACCCTGAAGTGGCCGAGATATTTTTGTTCCTTAAGTTAACACCTAAGGGAGCCCAGGGGGCATATTCCATAGGGCGTTACACTGCCAACCCAAAGATAGTGCTTGTCTCTGGTGGTGTGGATGGCTCTGCAGGAGAAAGATGGCCTTCTTCTGTGCAACTTACAGGCTCCTGAAAACCACTGGAGGGTCAGCTGGGAGTCTGGTCCAACTTGATGGCAGTGAGTGAGAGTAAAGTAACATCTGCTCTGGTGGTGTAGCCTGTAGCAAGTTGCACTGGTAGTCTAAAAGCCCCATCTCCTGCTGTTCAAATCCACCAAGGTCACCTCAGGAGATTTGCAGCCTTGGAATCCCAAAGGCAGGTCACTATGAGTCAGAACTGACTTGGTGATAGTTGAGGTTAAATAATGCTGATGTGCTTATTAACGTATGTTGTTATATGCCATCCTGTTGATTTCCACTCTTAGTACTCCATGTGCTAAGAGTGGAATTACCCCACAGTTCTTTCTAGACTGTAATCTTTATGGGAGCCGGTCGCTAGGTTCTTTCTCCCACAGAGCTACAGCTGATGGTTCAACTGTTAAGTCAGCAGGGCTCTTAGGTTACCTTTAGTCAAGACAAAACATTTCCCCTCCAAATAGGTAAAATGGGGCTGGGCCATGAGAGGCTTAGAACACTAGCCAGTCCAACTCTTCCCACTCCATCTCCCATTTTACAGATGAGAAACCAGAGTTCAAATTGTATAAATCTGGCTTGCTCAAGACCATGTAAGCAGTGAAGTCAGGATATGGAGTCAGAACTTATTACCTCACCCAATGGCCTTAGCGTGCCCTTGCCCATCCTTCCTTCTTCTGTGTCCTCCTTCCTCTTCCAGAGTTCACATGTCGATGCCCTCCACCCTGACCCAGATGAGCCTCCCCTTCAACCAACCCCAGTGAGTGACAAGCCCCTCACAAGCCACTGCTTCCCAGTCTTGCCCAGCATCCCACCCTCATGTTCATCTATCTCATGTCATGGTCCTGGCAGGGGCCTGCTGCCATGCCAGCCCCAGGAGCATGCTGTGCCCACCTCTGAGGCCATGATCAGCACAGATGTGACTATGGAAGAGAACTGCATGAGCCTGCCTGTGACAAGGTTCCCTCCGGACGCCTGGTGAGTGTCCAGCTGGGTGGGATGAAAGGATGGCTACCATGCCTATTCCACAGCATCTCCTTTTCCTCCTTGCAGGGATGATGGAAACATATTCCCTCCCCTGCTGCCTCCCACTGAACAGGACCTCACCAACCTGCTCCAGGAGGGTCAAAGGGAATCCACTGGGGGCCCTTTGGGATCCCAGCCTCTCCTGCAGCCCTCTCCCTATGAATCTGGGATCCCAATGCCCCACTTGGACCTAAGGGCCAACCCCAGTTGGTGATCCTAGCTGGAGGAGGAACCCAGAGAGACAGCTCTTATACCCACGGACCTTCTCTGGACACCTGTTCCTGCTTCTGCCAAGCAGCAGGCGCCCCACCTAGTTCTTGGTTAGGAGAAAATGACTGTCAGAAGGCACTGTGGGTGGAGCTGATCCACTCCTTCCCACCCACTCCTGTAAACACACCCCCTGCCCACCGCCTTCCAGCAAAGGAAGAGAAGTTCAGGCTCCAAAGTGAGACATGCCCCAACACACACACAGACACACAGACACACACACACAGAGTTCTCCATGGAAACTGGCGTCCAACCCGAGGACAGTGGGGCGAGAGCACAGGTTAGGGCACGGAGGGCTCTTCCGCCCACTCCACCCCAGGGCCCAGGACACACATGTAGAAGCAGGCAGGTACATGCACATATTTGCACTAGTTTGGGTGCCAGATTGAAGGGAAAGAAATTCAGGGGTCCCTCGGGTTGGAGGGGTGTCTGTACATTTGGTTGTGGATGTGAACTTTGCTCAGATTAAAAAAAACCAACGAACATAACAAATATCCTAAATCCCTATTGGTCCGATGGAAACTTTTTGTGTGCGACCTGATGCAGAAGCACAAGGGCGGGGTTTCTTGAGGTCCAGCTATGTTGTTAAATGTACAGATGTTACACCTCTGAATGTATGCCTATTTGACTTTGCCTGTGTGACGACAGAAATTGATGATGGTGCTAGAAACAGTCTGTTAATCCAGATGTGCTGATTTGGGTAAGACCGTGATTGTGACACCTGCATATGAACTGAGCTGTTACTGATCCCACTAAGAGTCAGAGTTGAGGGTGTTGGGACAGGATGGGGCCTAGACATGCACTTACTCCCAGGGGATTAGGAGACTTACCTGCTGCCCCTTTTATATCCCTACCCATTATCACAGGCAGCACCCCTCTACCCCCCACCAGTGCCCTGCCAGCCCCAATCCCATGCCACCTTTCTTCTTTTTTGGAGTAGGGGTCATAAATCCTAAGCCATAAAATAAATTTTATTCCAAAATAACAAAATAAATAATCTACTGTACACAATCTGAAAAGAAAGATGCTCTAACTGCTCAGATTAAGTGCTGCGGTGGTCCAACCCCCCAGCTGAGGGAGACCGTGAGTCCAACCTAGGTCTCCTGAGGGGGCTGGTGAAGGGGATCCCACCTCCACCATGCCCCCTATCCCCAGAAAACAGGAGGAAAAGGATTGCTGAGGGTTTGGGAGAGAGATGGGATAGGTGGGCTAACTGCAGCACTTGTTAAATTAAAGAAACCCAACTAGAAGCACATACATGGGAGAGGAGAGGGGAGAAGGAGCAGTTCCAGTGTTCCCAGGCCCCCAGTGAGTATTTCCATTTGCAGCTGCTGGCCTTTCCCAGGGAAATCTCCCTCTCCCCCAAATCCATACTGAGTCCAACTGCTCACACTACTGGTTCAAACCTAGAGATTGGGAGTATGTTGTGTAAATCGGAAGAAACCCTGGAGGCAGAGTCCTCGCCCCCTTGCTCTGGGCAGGGGTGAGGGGCACCACACACCCTCCTTGTGTCCTCTCGCCAGGCCCCTGCGTTTATTGCTTGAAGCCCCATAGTCTTTTGCCCATGGAGCAGATGGGGAGGCAGGAGAAGCGCAGCGAAGGATCCGGTGATTCGAGTCTGAAGGGATGTGAGTGGAGGGTCGGTCTGCCTATCTGTTTGAGCCGAAAGTCCAAGTCCAGAGAGCCAGGGACCTCACTGCCTGCTGGCCTCAGCCTCCACTTTGACACTGCTTCGCCGCCCCTCCACCAGTGCGGGGTGGGTTCCTGGGGCTGGGCATCGGTCCAGTAGCCCTTCTTCAAACTCTGCAGGAAGGAGGAGAGTGTTAAGAGGCTATGGCGCTAGAGGCTGAAGACTCCTGTGACTTAGGAACAGAAAGGGTCAAGAAGGATGAGCTAAATCTATTGGATCACTGCCTCCTGCTCGGTGCAGGTGTACCACCAGGAGGTTCCAGACCCAAGTGTGCATGGCCCCCTCCCCTTTCTGGCTATGAGTAGCTCACTCTGTCTCTGTATGGGTCTTTCTGTCTCTCCCGCCTCCGTTCAGCTGGAATTTCTCGTTCTGTCAGGAGCTGCGGGGGCGGCTTGGCTCTGACCTCTCCCCCTCCCCCCTCTCCGGGCTCTTCTACCCCCACTCATCCCTGGCCCCCTCCCAGAATCCGCCCACCTTATCATGGCCCCCCGAGTTTCTGGGAAGCCAAATCAGGGGGAACACAGGAAACCAGCCACCCAGCTCCTCCCCTAAGAAGAGCCCCCCTCCAGTCCCCGCCCCCACTTCCCACCCACGCAGAGTTTAAAAATACCAAGCCAGGGTTGGTGGCTTTATCTGCTGCGTCACTCTCAGCCCAGCAGATGCCCAGCCCTCTGACGGCCCACTCCCCTTCCCCCATCCACATACAATGCATCCCCCTTTGGGCTTCTCTAGTCCAAGCTGGACAACCTCACCCCATGACCCCCTGCCTGCTCCACCCTGCACCTGTCTTGGTACATGTCTTACCCAAGCTTCTCTTTTCAGTGGCTCTTCTTCCAGCTTCCCTTTACCCCGCCCCCCTTATCTGGCCTCCCAACTCCCAGCTCCCTCTTTACAAGTCTCCATTAGGGTCAGACCCTCCCAGTGGGGACAGGTCACAAGGTCCTCCTCTCGTCAACCCCAGGTCTGGTTGGCTGGAACCTGACCCTCCTACCCTCTTACTGCCATTTCTGGCTACATTTCTCTTCCTCCCCCCTCTTGCCCCCAGGACACCCAAGATAGCTCTCTCAGGCCAGGGTGGCTGGGGTACTTGGGGACAGCACTGCTGGCTGCCTCACCTGCGAGAGGTGGCTTTGCAGGCACACAGGGGCTGAGGCGGCCCACGCGGTCATGGGAGACGAGGCGGGCTAGCCGCAGCCCCTCGTCCATCAGTGTCTGCTGCAGGATGTGGCGACTCCACAGCCCATGGGCTGGCAATGCCAGAGGCAGGTCAGCAGGGGGCGGCGTCAGCCTTGGGCACGACCCCACAGCTGTGGGCATGGGCACGGGTCAGATAAAGGACTGCAGCCAACTGAACCCCCACCCTCAACCACACAGCCAGACCCATAGACCCTTCTGCCCCCATCTGGTCAGGCCTCCCACTCCTGTTCCAAGCAGCTGCCTCCTGGCTCCCTCCACCCTACCCCCATCGAGGAGAGAAGTATTCCAATGCCCACTCACCCTGCAAGTGTCCATCGAGGCTCTCCCCAGACAGGCTGGCGCTGTCTTCTTCCAGGCTGGGTCGGTATGGGGGTGCATAGGACTCAGGGCCTGGGGGAGGCTGCTGGATTTCAGGGTGACTCTGCTCTCCAACCTGAGAATGCCCCAAAGTGAAAGATGAGGACACGGCAAAGGAAGGGGACGAGGAAGGCTGCCCTGCCTCCCACAAAGGCATTCTGGAAAACCTACCTCTTGTTTCAATTTCTTCAGTGGGGGGCCTCCTAACTCTTCAGGATGGATCCTGAAAAAGATAGAGCAGAATGAGCGGTGCAGGCTAGGAAGGACCACAAGCAGGGCAGAACACAAAGTTAGCCAGGGGCATAGCTTATTTAAAGACCACAAGTAAGCTGGCTGAACAGGGTGCTCTGATTCATGAACTCTGTAGTTCAGGGGACTTTAGGGAAAAAGACCTAAAAAAAAAAGGGGTTATAACTCAGACCAGCCAACACCCATAAAGGCAGGGGGTGAAGATGAATGGGAAACAGGTTTAGAGGAACCTGAGCTAAAAGTAAAGCCATGCTCCAACTCTGGCAAGGTTCCAATGTAGAAGGGACCTGAAAAGAAGGTCTCACCTAGAACCCTTCAAGGAAGACAGGTAGGTGCTCTCTCGGGCTACTTGGCGGGACAAGGAGAAGAGTTCCACTCTCCGCAACAAAAGTGTATTGTCCCTCATGCAGAACTGGGCAGCAGCCTCATTGATGGTCAGCTGTGGAGAGAAGGCAGACAAATCAGACTCTTGACTCCTTCCTTGTCCTCACCCCCTCCACCATCGAAGAGCCATCCATCAGGGGATGCTTGCTTGGTGTTTTCTGAAGCAAGAGAACAGAGGTCAGACACAACTTCTTAGGAAAACATCCAGAGCATCCATCAAGGTTATGGGGTGCTGAGTGACCCTGAGTTGTACAGCTGGGTTCTGGTATCTATCTCTGCTTCCCTCTCAGTTGAGGACAGAAGCATTTTAATATCAGGGTTTTAAGGGGAAGAGGTCACGGTGTGGGGCCCTGGGTAATGACAATCTCTGGGAAACACTAGGATTCTCAGAGGTGAGAGGGTGATGCCCAGGAACCAAGAGCAATTCCTGGAGGTGGGTCCTCACCTCATGCAGGCTGAGCTGCTTGCCCTCCCGCCTCTTGGAATCAAAGCGGCCATAGATGATGCTGTACTTTCGAATCTCCTCTTCCTTCTGGCTGTCACTATCATCCATCTCAAAGATATGTCCCACGCTCCGAGCCAGCTTCTTATTCAGCTTTAGCAGGGAAGTTACCTCCCCAGCATCCCCCCTTGGGAAGCTCCGGAAGATCCTCTCCACACTCTCGACCACCATCCGCACCATCTCTGGCTCCAGTCGGTCTGGTCCACCCCCAGTCCCACCTGCTGTCAGCCCTCCAGCCCCTGTCCCCTCAGGAACTCCACCCCCTGCAGGTGGGGAGAAGGGGGGTGAGCCAGCCTCCTCTTCTCCTCCTGCCCCAATGTCCGACTCTGGAGTGCTCCGGCCTGGCCAGATCCGGGGATCCCCTGCCCCAGGTCCCCCTGGCAGTGGTGACAGCTTCTCTCCAAGTTCCAAGGGGCTCTTGGGACTAAAACTGCGGGCACTACCCGCCTTTTCTCCTGGGCTGCCATGCCCATTGCTCATGCTCCCTTTCCGGGTACCCGCGGTTTCAGAGATCTTGAAGAGCGGGATGCTAGAGACAGGCACAGCAGGCACTGGCTGGCTGAAGAGGCCTGGGTTGGTGGCCCACTCTCTCAGTGCCTTCTGCAGGCGCCGGACATGAAGGGGCTTAGTGGCCATGCCCACAAGGGCCATGATCTCCAGGAACTCCTCCTCCCCCGCCTCGCAGAGCTGCTGCACATCGTCCCCTCCTTGCTGGATGAAAGTTTCATAGTAGGAAAGAAGGTTGGCACGCTGCAGGACCCGGTACAGCTGCAGCTCCCCCAGCGTCCGAGGCAGTGCCATAGCTCGGGCACTGGGCCTGAGAAAGAGGTGCACAAGAAAAGAAGCAGTGGGTGCAAGTTCTCCTGTCAGGTCATCTTCACTTGGCTGCCTGCTTCTCTTTTCTCTTGAATGCGCTATCTGTCCATGCTCAAGACCAGACCATAAACATCAAACCCTCACTGCTCAGAGATCCTGCTCTCCCAGACTATGCAGAAGTATTATCTAAAAACTGCCTAATCTGTGCAGGAGAGAACTCTGGTAGCTTAATAGTAAGGAACGGTGCTGCCAACTCAAAGGTATGCAGTTCGAATCCACCAGCTGCTCTTTGGAAGAAATATGGGCCATTGCTGCCCATGTGGTTTACTGTCTCTGAAAACCTTCTGGAGGGTCAGTCATGGGTTGGTTCTGACTCAACAGTAAACACCAACAACAACAGTCTCTGAAGGAGTCAATGACTCTCAGCCTCCATTGTCAGTTTTTATCTTTTGGATCTGGGGCAGCAAGGAACACAGAGGTCTGCTGGCGCAACCTGTGGTGGCTAAACCTCCCAATTCCCCCTGCAGATTTAATCTATACTAGTCTCCATACTCTTTGAGGTGGTATCCCACATTTAGGTGAAGGTGGTTTACCTTTTCTACCCACAATGAACAGCAGGGACACTGCTGTCTAGCTCCACTCCCAATAACATTCTGCGTAAGTGGCAGAAAGGGAGGGGCGTGGCCCCTTCCCACTAGTGAGCCAGGTGGGCCCATGCTCCTCTCTCCTCAGTCTATGCCTGGACTTGAGTGGTCTTCTCAATGTCTCTCTGCTTTCTTTTCACATATTCTCCCCTTCTTGCTGGGCCTCTCAGTTGGCTCTTCTCCCAGCAGTGGCCATTCCCCCTTGCTGGGATAGGCCCTTCCCTTAATGTTATGAAAGGGGGGGGGCTCAATTGTTCTGCTCTAGGGCAGCTCTACCCCCACACTCCTACAGTGGTAGCGTCTGTGGGTGAAAACTACCCCGAGGCTCCTGCCTACACTCTTCTCCCTTATTTTCTACCCACATCGTCAAGTGGGGAGCTACTCAAGGCGGGAGAACGGCACACCACACGGCCCCTCCCGACCTTCCTCTTGCTGTAAATAAAGGGAATGAAACAGGAAAGGTGTCTTAATGCATCTATGCTTCCCCAGTGCCCTGTGGATGCACTCTTGCCCAAAGGCGCCAGCTCCTCCCAGACCTCGGGGTAGAGCGCTCCATTCCAGTGCCAGTCTGAGCCAGCCGAGGGGCCCTCCCCAGCACTCCTGCCAGCTAGAGCTCCAGGGCTTCCCCTGGCGCTTGGGGTTCCCACGTTCTTTGTGGGGGGCTCACAATACCTCCTGATCCCCGCCAAGTCATGCAGAGAGTAAAGGAGGGAGGGGGAGCCAGGTACTACTAGTTCACATCCAGCTTCATCAGATCCCTAATTCGAAACCCCAGATTCCCCTAATTCGAAAACTCAACCTCCTCTTCCATCAGTCTTCACCCCCCACACCTGTCCCGCTTCCCATCGTCCTCTCCTCGACCTCAACCCTCCACATCCCATCCCCCAAATCGGTCCCACCCATCTTCATTGCCCCGCCACTTCCCTTTACCCACTCACTTGAGTCTGGACTGTTGGGTCCGGCGGGTGCTGACCCCTCCGCCTGGAAGCTGCTCGGCAGTGGGGGAGGGTGCTCTGTGCATGGACGGCAGAGACCACCCAGGCTGCCCCTGTCAGTGCCCAGCGATGGGCACCTTGCGTGCGCTGCGCTCTTCACGGCGCGCGATGCCGTGTCCGCCACTGTCCGGGCGCCGTCCCTCCCTCCACGTCTCCTCTCTCCAAGCCTCAGCGCCTCTGTCTGTGCCTCTGCCCCCCCCACTCCCCGGCTGCACTTGCCGCCTCTCCGCGCCTCCGCCCCCACAGGACGCACGGGGAGCCAGGCCCGGCTCTGCGCTGTCTGCGGGCGGATGGAGGGCGTGGGTAGAGCCGGGGGCGGAGGCCGGGGGCGGGGGGCGGGAGCCGGGGCCTGTCGGCCGCAGAGATGCCGCGGTGAAGAGACGGAGAGAGGCGGGGCCTGGGGTGGGGGGAGGGTGGAGCAGGAGGCGGGGGCGGGGACTCTGAGCCAGGGCGCCGAGTAGGGGGCCGAGGTGACCGGGGCTAGGCAGTGGAAGGCGGGCTTGGAGACCCAGCAGGCGGGGCGAGGCTGCTTCGTGCCGCCCACGCCGGATGCACAGCCGGCCCTCTCCGCGCCCACGTTCCCACGTGAGCACCTCGCTGGCGACATTCCTACTCCCCCACCACCCTTACCCCTCCGAGCTAACAGCGGAGTTTCACAACCACGCATAAAACACAAAAGATACTGAAGCGCACGGAAGGCCAAACGGCTGAGAAAACTCTGCGGACTCCGCGGCCCACACTCGGGGCCTCGCAGTGCAGTGCAGTGCGTGCGACTGTTAGGAGGGACTGGCAAAAGTTGGGGAAGGTTCCAGTGCGTGCACCTGACTGAAATAAGGTGTGCACTCAGGCAGATCTGTGAGCAGAGCACTGGTTCCGCAGCAATCCCTGAACCTCGCGCCCTCCTCCAGACCCACCAGGGGTAATGTGGAGAGACAGCTCTGGGAAACCTAGGCCTTCTCCATTCCTGCCTCCAGTCCTTTCTGAAGTTTGGAAAGTGGGGAGTTTGACAGGAAGAAAAGATCACCACTTTAGTGCTCATCACTTAGGTTCTGATAGCTTACATGTTGTCATGGCTTGTGAGTCCAGTCTGGCGGTGTTATCTTTATTATTATCCCATCCTATTGGCTAAGGAAGGGGAACTTCATTGAGGACAATATGGCAAAACTGGGATTGGGAGGTCAAGAGATCCTTTTTGGTCGTATATTAGGGATCTTTGTGAACAACAGTCCAGTAGAAGTGTAGCCTGACTTGGCTCCCAAACTAGATGCAGGAGGGAAGAACGGCTTAAAGGATTTAGGCCCCCCTCCCCAGCCCACAACCTCCTCTCGCTTTGTTTCTTCCAGCCCCATCTGGTTCCCATTTTTCTCCCACCCACGACTGGGAGGGCTGGAGAGGGGGGCGGCGGGGGTCCCGAGGGCCCCGCCCAGTGGCTCAAGTCTCCAATAAAAGGGGAATGTGGGGTTGGCAAGAAGAGAGCGCTGGCCAGAGGCAAGCCCCCACCCCTTAAGTCTGAAACCTCAGCCCCGCCCCGCCAGTTCGCACTTGTGAGTGGCCCAGGGCCCTGCCGGCGGTGGGTGGCGTGGGAGGGGGCCGGTTCTACATTCCAGCCCAGCGAAGGGATCTTTCCAGCTCCGGTGGCGACTAAAGAAGAGGGATGTGTTACTGTGGATGACTTAAGTCTCTCGCCCTCTCCATCGCTATCACATTAAGGCCTAAAACATAATCAGGAGGTAGAGGTTGGGAAGCAGCAAAGTTCCTCTTTTCAAGTCCCTCATCCTCCAACTGGACAGTGTGGCCAGACGGCCAGCCTTCGGAGCATGCCCCAGCCCCTGGGTTTGGGCGGGGGCAATCCCTCCCTACCACCCCTCCCCTGGTTATTTCTGAGCTGGGGCTGCCAGCCGCTGGCCCCGGGTTTCCACGTGCCCCCTCCCTTTGCCTGCCTACGCTCCCCATGACGCACATCCTCCGCCCACGCAGCCTCTGCTCCTGGCGCCCCCCTCCCTCCCACTCGGGCCCCTTGGGGCGGTGCTGAGCCCCCGGATCGGAGGGAGACGCAGGTCCGCAGGGGGCTGGAGCGGGGCGTGAAGCAAGGAGGCGGGAACCTGCCGGCGGTGCAGTACGCACACGGATCTGGGTCCAGGAAAGAGGGCAGGGGAGGAGTTGTCCTGGGGCAGGTCCTCCTCTGTGCAGGCAGACAGGAGAGAAAGCCTGCGAGAAAGCCTGCAGACTCTGCATGAGAGTGAAACTCCCTACTGTTTGTGTCTTTGTTTCTCAAGGTTAACTTGAGGTTCAGATGAGAGTACATGAAAAAAACTCTTGGTAAACTACTAAACAAAAATTAAGCTGCTGTTATAGGTCTGTGCCTCTGTGTCCTGAGATAATGTATTTTATGCTGCTTTACATTTGTGCATCAGTGTTTCTTTCTCTCTAGGTTTGTATCCGAGAGTCACCGTGTGTGGACTTAAAAATACGGGTATTTTAAAAATCATTGACTTGTCAGGCCTCCTCGGAGGCCCAGAGCGCCCCCGCAGCGGGAGCTGCAGAGATGTCTGTTCTCTTCCCTCCCACTCAGCCACCCCAACTCCCCTCCTACTCCCTTCCGTTGAGAACAAGGAATTTCCAGCCTTGAGAAAAGAGACACAAAGAGCGGCCGAGACCATGAAAAGACAACCAAAAACATAAAAAGAAGAGACAGATGGAAGGACGATGACAGAATGGGGGTGGGGACAAATACAAACATTAATTTCTTTTCCTCCTAGTTGTCACTTTTCTCAAACTGGTCCTCTGCCTTACCTGACTCACCTGCTCTAGGAGCCCACAAAGGCCCATAGAGCAGATGGGTCCTATTTAGTAAAGGAATCATATTCTTTATAGTTTGCACCTGTCTCATCCGTGAAGGTTTTTTTCTCCAAGTAAAACAAAGGGAAACCGTTTGTTTCCCAATTTTCCAAGAAAATAAAAAAAGGTTGGGGGGTGGGGGAAGAGAAAATGTGGGTGGAAGAGGAGTGAGGTAACTGAAACCCAGTAAGAGCTTTTCCTCACCACGTGTACATTTTCTTTGAGCAGATTGTGTTGCTTACCCCTCCCACGTTTTCACCAGGCCATTTCTGAAGCCCAGGTTTCTAACTCAACGACCTTGCCCTTCCTGTGTCCACTCCCTTTCTCACCTGCTGTCAGAACTCCTGTGTTGGTTGTCTGCCAGATCTTTGCACATCTTACAATCTCACTTGCTTATTTCACCCTCAGCCCAGGACCTCTCCAGGGCTGGCCTGGGACCTGGTGGGTTCTCTGAAATTATTTAATTGGCATTGGTATTTACAAGATTGAGGAGCTTTGAAAAGGGTAGTTGTACTGCGTTTTACACCAAAAAGAACTTTGGCAAAAATGTTTAAGTGGAGAAATTTGTTTTCCAGGCCTTTTCTTCATGTGGAGTTTACAGTGAGACAAATTTGCTTCTTGACCCTCTACAATGGCCACTATTCCAGTAAAACAACCCATACCCAGGGGCTAAAGGAAGACGCGTGAGACCCTTTTTTTGGTAGTAGAAAAATGTGACAAATAATGATTCCTCTACTTTCCTGAATCTGTTAACATAACAGAATATATATTGTAAGGGTGTTATCCTTATATTTGGATATTTTGTAAAAAGTGCTTCACTTCTCAAAGAGGATCCTAGTCTCTGCCTTTATGGAGCTCAAAGACTGTTCTTATTAGCCCTTGAGCCAAAACCAGTTTATAACTGACTATGCAGCAGGTTTTTGGAAGATGTAATTCGTATGAGATTGCCCATCTTTCTCATGCAGAGCAGTTGGTGAACTGCACAGGTTTGAGGCCTTGAACACTAATGAGCGAAGACCTAATGAGTTGTGGGAGGATGTCAAATGTTATCATCCAGGAAGAGTGCAGTCATTACAAGTACAGAAGGGGGGGTGGGGAAGACCAAAATGGATGTCAGAAGAAACTCTGAAGATTGCATTGGAGCGCAGAGAAGCCAAAGCACAAGGAAGAATTCAAGATACTAAAGAGTTGAACAGAAGATTCCAAAAGGCAGCACGGGATGACAAAGCAAAATATTACAATGAAATGTGCAAGGAGCTGGAGTCAGAAAATCAAAAGGGCCGAACTCGTTCAGCATTTCTGAAGCTCAAGAAACTGAAGAACAAATTCAAACCTCGAGTTGCTATAATCAAGGATGCTTTAGGCAGAATAGTAAATGATCCAGGAAGTTTA